AACTGAGATACCAATCACATTGCTAAAAGCTGTTAAGGAGTCAAATATTATTACAGCTTTTAAAGCTACCGTTTGAATGATATACGTAAAAACTGTGCAGCCTCCTTCGTCATCCCCCTCAGAAGATTTTGCAAGTGTCTAGTATAACAAAGTAATGATGAAAATTTTAACCCTGCAAGAATTATTCAATATATGTTATGATTAGCCATGTAAGGTTCAAGCATTATTCAAAATTTTAAAAGTAGAATTATAGTAACATCTTTGATATGTTGATTCATATCACCTTTGTGATGTATGTTGTGATCTTTTCACTTCGTCTATATCTTCGCTAATAAGTATAAGAAATATTACACCAAGAGAAAACTGAGATACCAATCATGATACTAAAAGCTGTCCAGGAGTAAATATTATTACAGCTTTCAAAGCTGCCGTTTGAACGATATACGTAAAAACCGTGGAGCCTCCTTCGTCATCCCCCTCAGAGGATTTTGAGCAAGTTTCAAGTATAACTAAGTATTGATGAAAATTTTAACCCCGCAAGAATTTTTCAATATACGCTATGATTAGCCATGTAAGGTTGAAGCATTATTTAAAATTTTAGAAGTAGAATTATAGTAACATCTTTGATATGTTGATTCGTATCACCTTTGTAATGTAGGTTGTGATCTTTTCACTTCGTCTATATCTTCGCTAATAAGTATAAGAAATATTACACCAAGAGAAAACAGAGATACCAATCATGATGCTAAAAGCTGTCCAGGAGTCAAATATTATTACACCTTTTAAAGCTGCCGTTTGAACGATATACATAAAACTGTGCAGCCTCCTTCGTCATCCCCCTCAGAGGATTTTGAGAAAGTGTCAAGTATGAAAAAGAAATGATGTAAATTTTAACCCCGCAAGACTTATTCAATATAGGCTATGATTAGCCATATAAGATTCAAGCATTATTCAAAAAAGTAGCATTATAGTAACATCTTTGATATGTTGATTCATATCACCTTTGTGATGTATGTTGTGATCTTTTTACTTTGTCTATATCTTCGCTAATAAGTATAAGAAATATTACACCAAGAGAAAACTGAGTTATCAATCATGATGCTAAAAGCTGTCCATGAGTCAAGTGTTATTACACTTTTTAAATCTGCCTTTGAACTATTTACCCAAAATTGTCTAGCCTCCTTCGTCATCCCTCCAAGAAGATTTTGAGCAAGTGTCAAGTATAACAAAGCAATGATGTAAATTTTAACCCCGCAAGACTTTTTCAATATAGGCTATGATTAGCCATATTAGATTCAAGCATTATTCAAAATTTTAAACGTAGCATTATAGTAACATTTTTGATAGGTTGATTCATATCACCTTTGTGATGTATGTTGTGATGTTTTCACTTTGTCTATATCTTCGCTAATGAGTATAAGAAATATTAAACCCAAGAGAAAACGGAGTTAATTATCAATCATGATGGTAAAAGCTGTCCAGGGAGTCAAATATTATTACAGCTTTTAAAGTTACCTTTGAACTATATACGTAAAAACTGTGCAGCCACCTTTGTCATCCCTCTCAGAAGATTATGAGGAAGTGTCAAGTATAACAAAGCAATTATTCACATTTTAACTCCGCAAGACTTATTCAATAGATGCCATGATTAGCTTTGTAAGATTCAAGCATTATTCAAAATTTTAAAAGTAGAATTATAGTAACATCTTGCATATGTTGATTCATATCACCTTTGTGATGTATGTTGTGATCTTTTTTTATTTCGTCTATATCTTTAATAATAAGTATAAGAAATATTACACCAAGAGAAAACTGAGTTATCAATCATGATGCTAAAAGCTGTCCTGGAATCATACTATTATTACAGCTTTTAAAGCTGCTGTTTGAACGATATATGTAAAAACTGTGCAGCCTCCTACGTCTTCCCTCTCAGAAGATTTTGAGCAAGTGTCAAGTATAACAAAAAAATTATTCACATTTTAACCCCGCAAGAATTATTCAATATATGCCATGATTGGCTATATAAGATTCAAGCATTATTCAAAATTTTAAAAGTAGAATTATAGTAACATCTTGCATATGTTGATTCATATCACCTTTGTGATGTATGTTGTGATCTTTTCACTTCGTCTATATCTTCGCTAATAAGTATAAGAATTATTACACCAAGAGAAAACTGAGTTATCAATCATGATGCTAAAAGCGTTCCAGGAATCATAATATTATTACAGCTTTTAAAGCTGCCTTTGAACTATATACGTGAAAACTGTGCAGCTTCCTTCGTCTTCCCTCTCAGAAGATTTTGAGCAAGTGTCAAGTATAACAAAGAAATTATTCACATTTTAACCCCGAAAGACTTATTCAATATATGCCATGATTAGCCATGTAAGATTAAAGCATTATTCAAAATTTTTAAGTAGAATTATAGTAACATCTTTCATATGTTGATTCATATCACCTTTGTGGTGTATGTTGTGATCTTTTCACTTTGTCTATATCTTCAAAAATAAGTATAAGAAATATTACACAAAGAGAAAACTGAGTTATCAATCATGATGCTAAAAGCTGTCCAGGAATCATAATATTATTACAGCTTTTAAAGCTGCCTTTGAACTGTATACGTGAAAACTGTGCAGCCTCCTTCGTCTTCCCTCTCAGAAGATTTGGAGCAAGTGTCAAGTATAACAAAGAAATTATTCACATTTTAACCCTGATTCAATAAGACTGATTCAATAGATACCATGATTAGTTATGTAAGATTCAAGCATTATTCAAAATTTTAAAAGTAGAATTATAGTAATATTGTGTGAAATTATGATTATCTCATTAATATATGTTAATTTATATAATTTATGTAAGCAATGTGCTTTTGACGTTTTTAAGAAGGGTATGATTGATGAAAATTCAATGAGAAGCATTATAGTGATTATACATCAAAAATAGAGAACAAAACCCTTGTTATTTGTTGTGAAAACATTCCATCAGAGAATTTCCAACACATGGCACCCCCGATGGGACTGTAGCGAACCTAAAGCAGTGATTTTGGAAGCGAAACTTAACTAAACAACACTTTAACGATCTGATGACATTTGTGACGACAATGGAGGAAAATGAAAGCAGTCCTGAAGCAGAGCTATGAACTAAGATTATTCAACTACAAAGAGCGATTGAGAAGAGCGATCAAGTTTTTAAAACAGAAAAGAAACGGGTCATCCTAAGACATGTCGAATGTTTAAAGGAAACAATATCTAAAGTCAACAAATTGCGGATATCAGTCGAAGCGACAAAGATTGCGGCAAAAATAAAAAGCGATGAAATCGACAATTGGAATCAAGACATCGAGAGCAAGTTGGAAGAAAAGCGGACAGTAGGACAGATTTATTGGAGGAATGGTTACACTATGAAGACGCAGAAGTGGAAAAAAGGCAACTTGAGAGCAAGGCCATACAGGAGGATATCGAACGTGAGAAACGGGTGAAATTTGAACTGAGATTACACGAAGCGAAATAAAATTACAGAATGAGATCAAGTCTCCGGAAGTGAGCGCTAAAGTGCAAGCTAAGTTACCTAAACTTCACATCACCAAATTTAACGAGACTCACGCAGATTGGCCTCGATTTTGGAACTTATTTTCTGAAACTATCCGCAAAACAAGTGTTTCTCCTGTAAATAATAAATTCGCATATCTACAAGAGTTATTGTGTGAAAAGGCATCAAAGGCAATCAAAGCTCTACCGCACACGTCGGAGGGATATAACCGAGTGATTATTATTTTCTTAAAGACCGGTTTGGAAAGGAAAGCGAAATTGTGAAGACCTTTGTAAAAGAGATATTGGACCTACCTCATATTGCGACAGCTAATGCTAAGAAAATTCATGAATTCTACAAGAAACTGGTTTACTGTGTACAATCGCTAGAAACACTGAATCGTCTTGATTTTATTAATGGCACAGTACTTATGGTATTGGATAAATTACCAGCCATTAGAGGGGATCTAGTACGAAATGATTCAAGCTGGGAACAGTGGAACTTTGTACAGTTCACCGAAGCCCTACGACAGTGGACAAGACGCAATCCAGTCATGGAGGATGATCCACCTCGGAAACCAGATGATCAACATTGAAAGCGAAGACCCAATTTCCAGACCCAGCAGGGTAAAGGAAAACAGTTGAGCGGGAAGAAAAGATCTTATGTCTACTGTGACAAATGTGACCATCGATCTTCAGAATGCGAGTCAGTTAACACGGCAGATGAAAAGAAGTCCATGTTGGCAAGGAAGAAGTTGTGCTTTAACTGCACAGGGCCAGCACACAGAGCTTCAGAATGCAGAAGTACAACTACATGTAAGAACTGTGGTAAATGTCATCACACATCGATTTGTAGTGAGAGCAAACCAGCAAAGCCAGCGCTTTCTGCACATAGAGATGTAGATCAACAAGTGATCTACCCAAGAGTACTAGTGGAAATGGATGGGATCCAGAAGCACGCCCTTCTTGATATGGGAGCCGGCAGTTCATATGCTTCAGCAACATTAATTGAAACACTCCATAAGAAACCTAAGCGAGTTGAGTTGAGAAGAGTGGACATGATGTTAACATCCAAAACAACAAAGGTGAAAATCTACTCAGCAAAGATCACCTCGGTTGATGGTAAGTTCACCACAGAGATTGAACTGTCAAAGGTAAACAAGTCCCAGCTGATGATGATAACAAATCCTGAGTTCAAAAGTCTTTGTCAGAATTATGACCACCTTAAGGAAGTTGAAGTTAACGAAGATCCGAAGAACAGAGATCAGATCCCAGTACATGTAGTTTTTGGGGCAAGCGAGTACGCTACCATCAAAACATGTTCAGCACAGAAGGTTGGACAACCTGGGCAACCTGTTGCAGAAAGGACCCTTCTTGGGAGGATTCTCATGTCGTCAGGGAAAGAAGACAAAGATAGTCCAGTGTAATTTGCGCAATCAACCTCAAACGACTATGAACAGCTGTGTTCCCTCAATGTACTCGGACTCCGCAGACAAACATGAAAATGACCAAGAAGCCGTCTATCAAGAATTTAAAGAACAGCTAGAGAGAGATGAAGCTGGATGGTATCAAACAAGCTTACAATGGAAAAGGAACCATCCAAGTTTACCAACAAATGAGACAGGGGGCAAGAAACAGTTGGAACATCTAGTACGGAAGCTAAAGAAGAACGAGCTATATGAAGATTACAATAACATCATCCAAGAGCAGCTGCAAAAGGATATTGTTGAGCCTGCGCCCGAAATAGCGAGTGGAAACGAATTTTACATCCCGCACAAGGCTGTAGTGAAAAAGGAGGCAGAAAGTACTAAGCTTCGTGTTGTGTACGACGCTTCAGCGAGAGAAAATGAAAGTGCCTTTTCCCTGAATGATTGTCTGCACCCGGGACCAGCCCTTCAAAATCAACTTTGGGACATTCTAGTTAAGTCAAGATTCCACCCAGTTCTTCTTACTGGTGATCTTGTGAAGGCATTCTTACAGATACAAATTAAACCGGAAGAGAGGGACTCTTTATGCTTTCATTGGAGAGAACCGAACAGTGATGTTATCAGGATCTATCGGTTTACAAGAGCTCTATTCGGGCTTACGTCGTCCCCATTTCTTCTAGGCAGAGTCCTTGACCAACACCTTAATTCCTGGAAAGCGCGATATCCCAAGCTTGTGGAAGAACTGCAAGATGGACTTTACATTGATGATCTAATAGCTGGTGGAGTCACAGTTGAAGAAGTTGTGGAGAAGAAGACCAAGTCAACGGAAGTGTTCGAGGATGCAACGTTTTCAATTCACAAATGGCACTCCAATGCAAAGGAGCTAGAAGCATCTGAGCAAGTACCATCTGAATCTGAAGAAATGACCTATGCAAAACAGCAGCTTGGCAGTGGAGGGAAGCTATTGGGACTGCCGTGGGACAGAGAAAGAGACACTTTCAGCATTGAATTTAGAGTAGCAGAAGATTGTAGAACAAAGAGAGATGTGCTTTCCCAGATTGCAAAGCTGTATGACCTGTTGGGCCTTGTATCCCCGACTATGCTGGTTTTAAGCTGCTCTTCCGTGACATTTGTGATGCCAAAGTAACCTGGAATGCAGAACTGCCTGGGCCTCTGCTGAAACGTTGGAAAGATTGGAGAAACTCCTTGCCAAAAGAGTATACAGTCCCTAGATCACTCACTCGACATAGCATTCCTGTATCGGAAATCGAACTACACAGTTTCGGAGATGCAAGGTCGCAGGGAGTGTGCGCGGTGGTTTATGCTGTCACCCGACAGATAGATGAAACGACACAAGGACTTGTCTGTTCGAAGTCACGCATCGCGAAGCGAAATCTCACTATACCACAATTCGAGTTGATTGCCGGTCACATGGCTGTGAATATTGCGTCAAACGTTGAAGCGGCTCTCAGCAACTACCAGGTGAAGATCCACTGCTGGCTTGATTCAACTGTAGCTCTTTATTGAATTCAAGGGAAGGGCGATTATCGTCAGTTTGTAGCCAACCGGGTACGAAAAAACCAGCAACACAATCAAGTAACCTGGCATTATGTGCCTACGTCACAGAATCCAGCCGATTTGGGAACCTGTGGAAGATAACGCCATGTGGAAGGATGGTCCTCCCTGGCTCCAGAACCGTGGCGAGTGGCCTGCGGACGTCACCTTAGAAGCAACAGCAGAGACAAGAGCAGAAGAGAAAGTGAAGCAGGAAATCCTGACTAGTTTGATAGTTTGAAAAAGATTAGTTTGATCAGTTACTGGACAAATTCAGCCTGTTCAAAGTTCTTCGCATTGGGGCCTGGGTGCGACGCTTTGTTGATAACTGTCGAGTAAATGTCAATGAGAGAAGGAGTGATGCGTTGCAGACAGAAGAGATCGATGGAGTAGGACTATGGTGGATAAAACGAGCTCAGCTTTCAGCGCGTCGAGATGTCCGTTTCGAAGCCAATCAACACCACCTCAATATCCAGCTGAACAGTCAAGAGGTCTTAGAATGTCGTGGATGCATGAGTGGGGAGCACCTGATCTACCTGCCCGACAATCACCCATTCACAACCTCTTTAGTCCAGCGAGCTCACGTTACGACATTGCAGGCGGAGTTGGGATGACGATGGCCGAGATACGAGAATGTTATTGGGTACCTGGACTTCGTCGACTGGTAAAAAAGATAAGATCTAAATATCATGGTTGCAGAAGGTTTCAAGCAGAAGCATTTGAGGCCCACCACTTGGGAAACTACCGAGCACAAGAACCGAAGGATCAACACCTTTTCAAGTACTAAGCGTAGACTTCACCGGGCCGATTAAGTATCGCATCAAAACCAATAAAGAGAAGAAGGCTTATCTCGCCCTATTCGTGTGTAGTTTGACGAGAGCCGTGCATATGGAACTAGTTAGATCACTGGAGACGGGGGAATTCATCAGATGTTTTAAGAAGTTTGTTGCAAGAAGAGGAAGGCCAGAATTGGTATATTCTGACAACGGGACCACATTCAAGGCTGCAGCAAAGTGGTTGGAGACTGTAAGAAGGGATGAAAAGTTTAATAGTTATCTGGCAAAGCTGGAGATCAAGTGGCGGTTTAATCTAAGACTTAAAGGCTTATTCAAGAGGGCCTTCAACATGTCCATTGGGAACGGAACATTGGAATGGTCGGAGCTGGAGGACGTAGTTTTCGATATCGAGGTAACTTTGAACAACCGTCCACTTGGGTATGTGGATGAAGACATTCAGCAGCCAGTTCTGACACCAAACTCTATGTTCCAGATCAATCCTAACAGTCTACCTAAGTTGGAAGCACATCGTATAGAAGACAAGAACCTAAAGAGACGCGCCAAAATCCTGAAAAGATGCAAACGAACCATATGGAATAGGTGGAGCCGAGAATACATTAGAAGTCTTCGTGGACAACATCGTCAAACTGAACAGAAGTGTTCGGACCATTCGAAGGTGGGAGATATCGTCATAGTTCAAGAGGAGAATCAACCGAGAAATCGTTGGAAACTAGCTATGGTAACCCACCTCATATTGGGGAAAGATAACGTTACACAGGGAGCGGTGTTTCATGGCCAGAAATTGCGGACATGGAATATGCAGATTGCCGTAGCAAATTTGCATATCTGTTCAAATATTATTCGTTTGCAGAACTATAAATTATATTGCGCATTCTTAAATTTTGCAAAATTTAAGAAAATCATTGCATCTTTGCTATTTGCCCTGGTTGTTTCTTGTAACTCGTGTCATATTGAAGATCCTGAGGTAATATTTTGCTGGCAAAGGTTTATGTCGGCTCTGCATTTTTATTTTATTTCTACGCTATTACGGTTTTCGTTTTATATGGTATTCAACGTGATAAATGACCAAAACTTTGTTTTGAAAATGCAGGACGAATACTGATAAAACATTTTGAAATACTGTATAAAAATATTAAGATTAACTTGCTCTGCAACGAGCAATTAAGGCAAATTATAATTGACCTACCTAAAGGTGTATTTTTAGCGTTTAGTACTGTGCACATTACAGTTTACTATAAACTCACGAAGCTTTATTTTGACACCATATGCAAATTTAGGCGGAAGTAGAATGTTAAATATGTCCGAATTTTCTGGCCATGAAGACTGGAAAAGGAAAGCTTGAACTGCCTATCCAACATCTATACCCATTAGAGTTGTCTTGTGATCGCGAGGAGACCCAACCACTTAACCCAAACGCTCCTGAATACCACCCGAGACCAACGAGGGCAGCGGCCGTGGAAGCAAATAAACGATTTCGAGAAATTGCAAATGATGAAGATTGAGAGAGTCTTGTTAACTTTGTTATCAATATTATCAAACATTAAAGTATAGAACGTTTTGTTTGTTTGAACGGACAGTCAAATTAAGGAACATTCGAACTGGAGATGTAACATGTATATCTTCGAGAAGAATATACATGGGGGAGTGTGTGCGAAATTATGATTATCTCTTTAATATATGTTAATTTATGTAATTTATGTAAGCAACGTGCTTTTGACATTTTTGACAAGGGCATGATCGATGTAAATTCGATGAGAAGCATTATAGTGATTATACATCAAAAATAGAGAACAAAACCCTTGTGATTTGTTGTGAAAACATTCCATCAGAGAATTTCCAACAACATCTTGCATATGTTGATTCATATCACCTTTGTGATGTATGCTGTGATCTTTTCACTTTGTCTATATCTTGGCTAATAAGTATAAGAAATATTACACCAAGACAAAACTGAGTTATCAATCATGATGCTAAAAGCTGTCCAAGAGTCAAATATTATTACAGCTTTTAAAGCTGCCTTTGCACTATATACGTAAAAACTGTGCAGCCTCCTTCGTCATCCCTCTCAGAAGATTTTGAGCAAGTGTCAAGTAAAACAAAGAAATTATTCACATTTTAACCCCGAGAAAATTATTCAATATATGCCATGATTAGCCTTGTAAGATTCAAGCATTATTCAAAATTTTAAAAATGTGACCCTCCATGGGAAAACATACATTAACGGTTTGAAAAAACGGGCTGAAATACCGTTTGCTATCTGTTTTGTATCCGTGAAAATCAAAAACGGTTGCCGTGAAAAAAATTTAAACGCCCGTTTAAATTTTTTGGCTTGGCGTTTAAACGGTTTCTTCAAAACGTGAAAACGTTTTGACTGATCCGAGAAAACGTTTTGACTGATCCGTGAAAACATTTTGGTACAGCTGTAAAAACATTTTGGTAGGGCCGTAAAAACGTTTTGGTAAAGCCGTGAAAACGTTTTGATAGAGCCGTAAAAACGTTTTGGTAGGGCCGTGAAAATGTTTAAATAAAACCGTGAAAACGTTCTCGTTATCAGGTTTCACCTAACCACTCAAACGTTTCCGCTAGCGTGCAATTAAATATTTCTATCCGACAGTCGGGACCCTTGAAAAGTTTAATATCGTATATAACTACATATCAAAGTATATTCTATATCGAAGGCAAGCAAAATCTGTCAAATACCCAATTGAAATCCCTATCACTGATTATTGCGTACTAAGAAGTATGATTGACCCAAAATATGTGTCTTTCGAGGATCTTTCAATAAAGTATATTATCACAGAAGACAGGGTGATGCTGCCACTGCTGATTTGCCAGCTTGCATTGCCAGAAAAAATGTGATTTTGAAATATAATCACCTGCATATGTCCACCCATGGGTCCCAAAAATCCTGGGTTTTTTTGCAATTATAAAAATGTAGCTATTTCTAATGCGTGTGTGAAGATATCTAGTTTAAGATTTATGACAGCAATTAGATTCTATACATATATCTACTAAGCAACTATCTGGGATGTAAATATGATAAAACTATAACGGGAAATATTTCATATTATTTTTTATGCAAATACTTATACAGATTCCAATACGTATAATAAAGTTCTATGTACACCATTACTTATAGTTCTGGTTCGGAAACTATTTTGACGCACATTCTTTTATCTCCTATATAAACACTAATTTGGTACGACCAAACAACTTTCACATTTATAACCATGCATTTCGCGATCCATTTTGGCAAAAACAACTAATTATTGCGTTATAGCATCGTGTGCAAGCTTCCTGTTATTTTACATCAACTTTCATCCTGTTTACCTATTACATACATTGTAGTGCATGCATGCATGTATACGGTAGCTATATAACATATTCATTATAGCATATACACGCTATACTACACATATACGCACAATATTTTTAACAAGGTGCATTTAACCAATTTTCGCCAGTGCATGCGTGTCGAAGTTTGAAAATGGGTTGGTAAAAAATCGACATATATATAAACTCGCCATTTTTCTGCCATATCGCCTTTTTGGACTGTAGTTATGCATGTATGCTTTCATTTTCAGAGCACATGCACGACTACACAGTCATATAATAATTATATAGTGTTATGCTGTATAACCAGATTAATGAGATTATTCTAATCCATACTTAAAAGTATACGCAAAAATTTAGCTGTCATTGAAAAAATTTGACCTCTGTCGGAAAAATTTGAGCTCCATATGTCAATAGCTATTCTTATTTAACTAAAAATTATTGGTGGTCACAAAATATAGTA